CCCCCCCCCCCCCCAATCATGTCCCAGCTGATTAAACTGCCACATTGGCCAGTCTGGGGTCAGTGTCCTGCTCATATCGGTAATGGTACACCTCCATCTGGTCCCGGCACGCCTCTCTGATGTTGTTCAGCCACCTCTTGATGCCTCTCCGGTTCAGGTACAGAACCATGAGAAACACCACCCCGATCAGGGCCAACACTATCCCCAGAAACACATAGGAGACCGCCTCCAGGTTCTCATTTATGCAGTCCGGGTTCTCATTATTACAATCCGGGTTCTCATTCATACAATCCAAGTCCTCCCCATGGAGGTTCTCTACAAGGACCCCCCTTTGGGCCTCTGGCTCCCTGCACAGAAGCTCCCCAGCATCCGGGCACTGGGATGAGTTTTTCAACCAGAAGTAAAACTCCTTCAGCTCACAGGTGCACCGAAACGGGTTCAGAGCCAAGTAGACGCGCGTGCGCCTCTGCTCATACAAACTGCTGATGTTCTCATAGTTGATGTTCTCTATTGAGTTATTTGTCAGCACTAAGGCGTGGAGGTTGTAGATGTCCAATCTCTCCAGCGGGATGGTTTTCAGGCCGTTTCCTGCCAACTCCAGCCGGTGGAGGTTCCGCAAGTTCTGCGCGCTGAGCGCGTGCGAGAGCTGCGCCGCGGCGCCAGGCGAGACGGAAGAATTCAGGTACAGAGAGCGCAGCTCGGGTAGTSCCCGGAAAGCCCGGGACGAGACGGACTCCAGCTGGTTGTGACTCAGATCCAGTGAACGTAAGCGCGGGAGTCCCAGGAAAGCGTACGGCTCGATAACCCGGATCCCGTTATGGGACAGCTGGAGGTTTTTTATCCCCGCCTCGGTGCCGTTGGCCGTGAACGCACCTTGGTGTAAAGTGGAGATATTTCTCCCGTGAAGTATCAAAGTGGACGTCCACGTCGGGATGTCCGTGGGTACTTCGGTGTCCCCGTCGTAAGAGAGACAGGTCACCGTGTCTCCGGTGCACGCGCAGGACGACGGGCAGCCAGCGTCACTCCTGACGGGCAGAACCAACAAACAGAAGAGAGCCGCGGCGCYCAGAATCCACTGATTCCAAACAGGGAAAACACAAGTCAGGTCGGTGCTGAAAAGTCTCCACATTTTCTTCATRGTTGTCTCAGAGCTGGAAATGTGATATTTAGGGGGGAGGGTGGGGTTGGGGGGGAGTCATCCACATAAAACGTCCAGTTACTTATTGTTCCAGCTTTTAAAGAAGTCTCCATCCATSGTCAGCTCAGTGTCAGGGTCTGTTCGGAGGAGCTGCTCTCTGTGATCTTCATCAGCTCGCTGGGTGGAGAGCTGCTGATCTGAGCTCCCTCGGTGGTATTTTTTGACGCCTGTCACACACACACACACACACACACACACACACACACACACACACACAGCACTCTGCAAGTTCATCCAAATCATTAGAATTGTTTTTATTCAACATTATTTCAAAAAGAGCCTAAAGAAAAATAACATTATATGATTTTCTGACTCCTTGAGATGTGTGTGAAGTAAATTTATTTTAATGTTTAGTCAAGTTACCTGAAGAAAGACACTGACAAAGCCTTTATAAAGCCTTGAGCTTAGACATAATGAATATCACCAGCCTCTTTTTAGTTCAGAGTTTTTGAAATTACAAAGTTGGGGTCATTTTGGTTACYTTTCAGGAATAGAACTGTAGAGCTGAGTATGTGGGTTGCACATATTAAAAAAAATACAAAATCTTTTCTGCAAAACAGCTTATTTTGCTGTTTTTATTGACAATYGTGCTGCCAATCGGGTGCTGGTATAAGATTTATTACCAAGAAGCATTGTTACAACAAAGAAATAATCTACCAAACACAAACGTCCTGTATTTCTCATGATCTTAGTGCTTAGATTTTGAATGACTGTCAGCTACTACCACACCAAATTTAAGCTCAGTATCTGTAAAACTGTCTTAAGTCAAAGCGAGCTATTTTCTGTGGCAGGCATCTTGAATTGAGTGAGTTSTACAGCCAGTAATGCAGCCAAAAATGAGAGTTTTGCAAAATTAAGTCCATTCAGTCCATGAGACTACCATTACTATTTTTGCCAAATGAAAAATTTGTGCAATGTTGTGCTCAAAGTATGTGTAGAGGATGATTTTAGCTAATACCATGCCAAATTTTAGCTCAGTGTTGGTGAAAATTATTGAGTTTTAGCCACTTAAGTGTCAACTAATGTCCATTAGCTGTGGTGGCCATCTTGGATGTTGACTCCAAAAGGTGATCAAATGTAAATGTGCACTGTGTTTCACTAAAATATGTCGAGTGGTTTAGAAATGTTTTGCTACAAACATGCAAACAGAGAGAAAAATAGACACATAGATATGTGTCTATAGARAGATACCTTCGTTTGGGTGATAATAATTCTGCCCTCCTGAAGCTGAACAACACACATTAGGTAGGAACTTGATGTTTAAACAATCATTTAAATTCAAAATAGCCTTTTTTTATCCCAAGCCTCCTGTTTCATTTAATAAAAACATAATTTATGGCGTGTTTGGTTTATTGCAAATTGGTTTTTAAATTTATGCACAGAAACCAGAGCCTGTTTAATGGGGCATGAGTCAGTTGCAGTGTTTCTCATTAATTTCTAAAAGTAATATATAAAAACTAAAGCACATCTGCAGCATAGTTAATCACTCTTTACCTCTGGGTGTAGCTAAAAAATCATTAGTTCTATTAAATATCCTGCTTTTTGCATCACCTTGTGCTACTGGACTAATATGAATTGGTGGGTCTTGGGGGTCTGTCATTTGGTCTAAGAGGATAAAACTGCTTTGAAACTTGAGTCTGTTAAGATGTTTAGAGTGATTAAAGCTTCTAAGATTGTCTGATTGTTTTAGTATAAAGGCGTCATGAAATATGAATCTGCTGACTTCAACTCCGCTTCCATTCTAAGAAAAAATATTAATTGAGTTTCAAATATTTTTTCCCAATCCACGTAATTTTTATTTTTTCCCCAATGACTCATAAACAAATTAATAAATGAGAACGGGTACACCTAAAGCAAAAATAATGAGCAAGAAGAGCTTTTCAGCACCAAGGACAGCTCACTCTCTCCAAATCGGAAAAAAGCAAAGAAAGTGGAATAAGTTTATATATTTTTTTCTTTTAAAGTAAAAAGTAATAAACCATGAACTATGGAGGCATGAAGAGAAAAAGAGAGGAACAAAGCATCAAAGATGACCTGTGGTTCAGCACCATGGATACATCCAGATGGCAGCATGTGGGTCAGATGTTGGGTCAGAGACGAAGCAAAAATAGCGTATTGTTGTTGTCTGCACCAGAATCATCAGTTTATTTCTCTCAAGTCAGTGACATGTTAGTAAAAATCAGTCTGCTGGTGGTAGTTTGTCTAAAATTATTATATTTATTAGATACCTGCTGTATAGAAACATTTTTTAGGTTTCTCCATTAAATATTTTTGATATCAAGACTCAATGCATGTGTATTGCCTTTATCCTGCTTTCCTGCTGATTTTTTCAATCAACTGAGTCACAAAATATATAAATAAAAGAGTTTTCTCCACAGTTCAGATGTGTCAAAGCAGGATTCTTTGGGGAGATTATAAACAATTAGTATCTTACCTGCTGGGGTGATTTCAACAACCCAGTCTAGAAACAAATAGTTAAATACTGACCAAAGTGACAAGCTAAATGCCAGTTCAAGGGGAGACTAGACAAGCTTTTTGCTACTTTTGCTAACATTTAGCTTATTTTAGCTTTTAGCTAATTAGCTTCTTTAATCTTTATATATTGATTCTTCTTCCATTTATCTTTTAGCTAGTCCTTTAATTCTTTAAGGTTGTAAGAATAATCATTTATTTTTTAGATTTAACTTCTGCTTATTTTTTATCTTTTGGTTTTCCTTTAGTTAACATTTAGCTACTTTTGCTATAATTACGTTTTTTAAGCTTTGAGATGTTTTTCTATTACTTTTTTAGCTTTAATATCTCATAATAACTTTCAGCAAAGTCATTCAATATTTAGCATTCTTTCATAATTCACAACATTTCTGCAAAATCACTTTTAGAAAAACCTGAAGTAATGATTTAACCATTTCAGCTTTCTCTATAAAACATTGATCACCCACATAACAGACAAGTGCAGGCCAGTTCTGACGTCAAGCTGCCAGTGGCAAAAATGGCATTGTTTTTAAGAAGGAGTYCCACAACTGGCCCAGTTGTGGTTTGGTTTATGTGGTGCTGGCCCATGCATGAACCACATCTGGGCCACCAAAAGGCCGTCTTTCTTTGCAATACCTGGGCAAAGTGTTAAAGTGTTGGAGCATTGTGTGGGCCAGAACTCAGTTAAACAAATTTAGCAATTATTTAAAAAAAACAACTTTTTTTCAATGGAGTCCTGGCCAAGATGAGCAGCAGTACATACAATTAGATTATGTAGTTACACATACATTAATACATACATAATAATTTGAAATACATTTTAAAGTAGAACTAAGAACAACTAATACATATAACGGAATTATATACAAATTTCCTCAGTATCAATTTAAAAGCTTTCACAGGTACTAAGTCTGTTAATTTCCAATTATTCTGCAACATATTCTATGCAAAGAGGGTGGAATAAGCAAAGGATTTTTGCCCATTCCTGTATGGGCAAATGGAACTGAAAGCAACAAAATGTCACATGAACAGAAAGAATAACAGCATTTTTCTGTGTAATTAGATTACACATGTATGAAAGTAGTAGTCCGAGTATTGCCTTAAATTTAAATGTGGGCTGTGTGGGTAGGATGCAGGAAAAATAAAAGTAATGTTAGCAACGATAATGTGTAGTTCTCAGTTTACTAAAATGAGGCAAATCCTTTGCAGAGTATCCATACAGGATGAAAGGTTACTTTAATTATTTTACAGTTATTGGACTGAATCATATTTCATGATTGGTCACAACTGACTCAGTGAAACTACTTGCTGCGTAAAGTAAAGTAAAAGAAAGGAAGGTGACAGAAAGGTTGGTTTTTTTCATCTCACTCTTGGCATGTATGTTACTCCAAATCACTCCCCCGCAGGAACTGCAGGACAAAAGGTCAAGGTTGGAGTGTAAATATAAACACTGGGAGAGCCATAAAGTGTGGAAGTGAGACACAGTGACATGATATAGAACAAGTGTGCAAATGATGGAAAGTGACCTGAGTTCTGGCGCTCCTGATAAGCTCAAAGAGCTATATTAACGTCAATATTTATTCCCCGGGACAAAAAAAAGGACATCTGCTCAGTCATTCTTTTCTCCTTGCAGGACCCCTCTGCCTGTTCCCCAGACGCTGGCTCTATCTTCCTGCACAGAGAGCTGATTTAGTGGTGGCTGTTTTCACAGGCTGCTGCTGATATCGTTATGGTGCCCTCTGCGGGGACTTCAATTTGACAGTGAACCTCGTAATTGATTTGCAGGTTGCACATCCCTATCTCCTGACTACAGTGATATTCTCTGTGTGTGTCAGGGTGTGTGTACACTAAAATGTGTCTAGTTACCATTGACAATATCAGTTGACTTTTCTTCTATTTTAAAGTGAAACTGTCACAGCATTTTTGGAGTTGTGGTGGATCATGCCTGTTTTATTTCAATAAGTAGCCTTTTGCTATGTTTTGTTTGTTCAGAATGAAAATAAATGACTGTCAATCTCAACTGTATAGAGTTTCTGCCACCACTACGCCTGTAGGTTTTTGCTCACAMTCAGTGACCTTGTTTGGGTAACTCCTCATTTCCTTCATTGCCCTTCCAMCTGTTATATGACTGACACTTGGGAGACCTACTCATAATAAATAAACTGACTTTAATATATTCCAAGTTGAGGACATAGGCATACATACAACACCTAGAAAATTTAGAAGGAGTCCTAAGGGTAGATGTTTGGTGCTTAGATCTATCAGGACTGAKGAAAGTGTGTCAGTACTTCAGGGACATTTCCTTCCTCTTCATTATCCTTGTAGTTAGATCACACTGAGTGAACGAAGCAAAAGGGCAACATTAGCATCAAAAAACAATATTYATTAATCAACAATATATAATGTAACTAATTTATTATGTTAAAGACAAAGTCAATTGACTCAAATGTAGTTTCAAACTATTGCTTGACCTGTTCTACATTATCATTCAGCATTTTCTTCTCCATACAGACAGATTTTTTTGGGATATGTTGATTTTTATAGCAGATTAGTCACTTCTATTAAGCTTCCTTACCTACAGTTTGTGCTAATTTCACCTGTAAAGAACCCTGCTATCATTCTCACCATTAATT